ATCAGTCCTCAGAATTTTCAGCTTTTGACCACTCTGTCTTTCGACCATGGACTTGAATCTTGAAAATACCTCAATCACATCACTTTTCTTCTTGATGAGGTAAATCCACAGCTTTCTACTGTAATCATCTATAAACGTGACAAAGTATTTTTTTGCCACCAATCGAATCCACCTGGATTGGACCACATACATCAGAGTATATGACTTCAAGTATTGCCTTCGACTTCCTTCCTGCATCCTTGCTGAAGCTATTCTTGTGTTGTTTCGACTGAACACACTCCTCACAGACTTCACTTGGAATATCAATTTCTGGTAATCCTGAAACCATATTTCTTCTCTTCAGTTCTCTGATGTCATTAAAGTTGAGATGACCTAGTCGAAAATGCCATAACCACTCATCTTTGTTGGCTGCAGTTTCTAGACATCTGTGCTCCATCACATTGAGTCCAATCTTGAAGGTCCTATTCTGAGACATTGGAGCCTTCAAGATTAGTCTATCACATGCGTCGAGAACTCTCATCATCTTGTTTTCGACAACTACCTTGTAGTTCTTTTCGACAAGCTGCCCTATATTGAGCAAATTACTCTTCATGCCTGGTATGTACAACACATTGAAAATTGTTGACCTTTTGTCATCTTTCCTCATAATCAGAACATCACCAACACCTTCGGCTGCTAGAGTGTTGTCATTTGTAAACTTCACTGTGTTCTTCGACGAGGGCTTCATGTTGACAAACCAATCTTTCCTTCTAGTCATATGTGATGAGCATCCTGAGTCCAAGTACCACTGATCTTGGAATCTTTCTTCATCTTTTGTTGTGACCATTAGCAACGTTTCTTCTTCTTCATGTTTCGCCAACTTTGCATCAGTCTCTTGATTTCTCTTCCTTTCTGGACAATCACTAACATAATGACCATACTTCTGGCAATTGAAACATTGAATGTGGCTTTTGTCTGTCTTTCGACCACCACCTCTTCCTTTACCTGCAGCACCACCTCTTTGGTTGCCTTGGTTCCAAGATTTCTTCTGATTCGACTGGTTTCCTCCTTTGTTGCCATTCCATCTACCTTTGCCTTTTCTTTCCTTTTCTGACTGCGCCTGCAAAGTCATATCTTTCGACTTTCCTGTAGCTCTCTCAGCCATCCTCTGTTCATGAGACTCAAGAGTCCCTTGAAGCTCTTCCTTCGTCAACACTGATAGATTTTTCGACTCTTCTATGGCAACTACCACGTGGTCGAATTTTGGAGCCAACGATCTCAAAATCTTTGAGACAACTGCTTTCGTCGTCAGCGCTTCTCCACAAACTTTGATTTGATTCACCAACTTTGTAACTCTGGTGAAGAAATCTGTAATGCTTTCGTTGTCTTCTATCTGAAGCAACTCATAGGTTCTCTTGTGAGTTTGTAACCTCACCTCTTTCACCTTCTCTGCGCCTCCAAACGACTTTTCAAGAATCTCCCATGCTTCTTTTGCTGAATCAACATCACTAACCTTTTCAAAGTTATCAGGATCAACACACTGATGAATTATAAAGAGTGCTTTATAATCCTTCTTCTTCAATTCTTTGTGTGCAGCCTTTTCCGCCTCCGTTGCGTTCTCCCCAAGTGATGTTACTCCGTCCTTCACAAGATCCCAAAGATGTTGATAACAGAAAATCACCTTAATCTGCTTGCACCAATTCTCATAGTTGTCTTTCTTGAGAATTGGCAGGGTCGCCGGAAAGTTGCCGTTCGGATAGTTCATCGTCATCACTATCTTCCTTCCTTGAATCTCTCAACCGGAGCTCTAGATACCAGATGTTGGAAATTCACCTCACACCCTATGAAGAAATCCCTTCAATCTTGATCTCAAGATTGATGAACAAACCCACAATATGATAGTAATGGTAATAACAAGTAATTATCAAGAACAACAAAAGAAAAGAAGAACACACAAGAAAGAGAAGAATGAGAAAGTATTGAGTTACCCACAACTGTGGGATTTCTGATTTTATTGAACCTTCACTTGCTAACACTGCAACTGTGAATCCAATTCTAATGTTGTGTTATATTTGAATACAAAGCAAGGCACCCTATTTATAGTTTTAGGTTTACACAAGCCCAAAACATAAAATGCCCAAAATATTCAAATCAAATCTAATCATATCAAATCAAATCAAAACAATGAATTACATTTAACAGATTTTTGTTATGAATTTCAATACTATCAAGATTGTTTTTTAACTAACATTTTTCTATTACAAGTTATTTTTTGTAATTTATGAATAAATTTAACCGTGCGAACACACGAGTCTTCTACTAGTATTTTGACATGATTGGTCGTCCTTACACATAAAAGTATTGTTAATCAGTGAATTCAAAATGCATATATTTTAGAGATCTTTATTAATTAGCTATAAAAGAAGTGTTGATAAGATGAAAGCAGTAGGTTAATCATGTTGAACCATACATAAACCTAAGAAACCACAAATAAATAACTATAACATTATTTGTTTAATTTACAAATTTATCTAAAATTTTCTTTTATAATTCAATTAAAAAGTTTACTTTTTCTTTTAGTTTCAATTTTTTATGAAAATTTTAAAATTGACATTTCTTTAAATAAAATATCAGAAAAAAATCCAAATTTAACACAAATAAGAAGAACTTTTTCCCAAATAAAACTATTAAATAGATATTAAATTTTAAAATTAAAACTAAATAAAAAAGTTACTTAAAAAATTAATTGTCTTTTTGTAATTATTTTGAAGGCAAAATCTTACTCACCATCATGATGATGATGATGATAATAATAATAATAATAATAATAATAATAATAATAATAATAATAATAATAATAATAATTATTATTATTATTATTATAATAATAATAATAATAATAATAATAATAATAATAATAATAATAATAATAATAATAATTAAAAGCTATTGAATAATAGTACTAATGGTAATAATAGTACATATCCTTATCTTTTTCTCTCTATTTTTTAAAATTGTAAATAAGGTTTTGTTTGGTAAAATTAGTTTATAGCGGATAACTAATAGTCAATAGCCGATGATTAATAGCTAATAATTTATGATTGCTAGTTTCTAACTGATGACTGATAGTTAATAAATTAATTTCAGTGTTTGATAAATTAGTTGTTACACTAACTGATAGATCCAAAATGACATAAAAGGATAATCTTAACTAAAAATTAATGCTTCATTATCTTATTATATTATGTTATAAAATTAACTTTTATTGATATAAATAAATATATTAATAAAAACATACAAAATAATCTTAATATATATGAAAATTAAAGATAATATTAAAATATACTAAATTTGTATACAAATTTTATAATGAAATTTAACGAGATACGCAAATTAATAATATTATAATTTTAAATTCAATTAGATTAATTAAAAATAATATTAAAAATAAGCCTGTTATGTAATATTCTACAATAAAAGATTTTCTGACTTCCTTTCGTCTTGATTGATTTCATTGGTTCTCCTATGAGGTTTCACTAATTTGAAAATTATCAACAATATTTTGAAATTCATTATATAATTTAGATATTACTTAAAAACATTAAACATTGCATCATCATTGCATCTTCTAAAACTATCTGAATTTAACAAAAACATTAACATTAGAGTGAAATTAGTTCATTGCTTTCTTCTCAGAAACATACATATAAAATAGTATTGTGAATTACATTCGATATTTAGATATATGTTGATAAAATATAAAAACTTAAAAGTGTGAGAGTATGTGCTTACCACTATACTATTATCACCATCAATATCAATCTTATTTACAAGCAATATAAATGGATATGTCCTTTGTATCTCGAGGATTTGCATATCATAATGAAAACATAAAACTTAATCCAAAAGCATATATAGATAAGGCTAATATTGATATACTTTGTAAAATAGTGAGACAAAACATGACAGTTTAAAAAAATGTCTTTCTCATTTCAATTGTTTTTTCTTAGAACCTAGCTTTCTTCAATTTGTATGCCCAATCCAAAGTACTTGAAGGGTGGCGAACAAGTGGAATTTCACTAGAAGGCCTCACACATTTCTGAGTTACTGGTTCATCAATCACCGTCAAATTTGTTTAGGTAATATCTCGCAACCCGTGTCATATGAAGCGAGAACCGTTTTAACTACTTATCATATATAAATTCATCACCTCTTAACAAGTATTTCTTCCGATCTTATTTATAAGAAAAAGTCTTTTAATTTTTTGACCTTAAATATAATCAAATGTTAACAAATTTAATCACATTTAATATTTTTATTTCAAAACTATTCCTACAATACCTAATTAATATTGTTAGTTCGTGACAATTTAACTAAGGATATATTAGTAATTCGTTATCTCTTTTATATGAAATAAAAAAAAATTAAATACACTTAACTATCATTCTTAATAAACGGAAAAATTATCCTTTTGTTTATAAATAATGCTGAAATAATATTATTCTATAGTCACTATTATAAACAAATATTTTGTTTTCAAGTTGATTGAATAATTAATATATTTGATTTATATTTGAATAATTTATGTGTTTAGTTTATATCTGGACCATACATAAATTATTTAATAAATATAAAAACAGAATATTTGTTTATAATAATCATAATGTGTTTATTTATTCATTTTTATTTTTATCAGTTACATTTCTCTGACTTCATTAATTTAAACGTTGAAGTGCTAATTTTCTAAATTTAAACACGATAGACTCATACCACCTCACCATAGGACCTCATCGATCACTACTGCATCATCGATGACCTCTTGCTCCACAATAAAACAAAATTCAAATGCTATTTTGTAAAATATCAAAATATGGATATTAATAACACTAAATTCACTTATTTAATATGAGATTACCTTATATAGATAAAAATAAAAAACCATTCCTCATAAATATAAAAAAAAATGTATAGTAAAATAAAATAATAAAAGAAAGAATGTTCTAAAAGTAAAAAGAATACTATCATAAAATTCCTTTTTCTTTTTTTCTTAGTCTCTTTTTCATATGAGGCTCAAACTCAGGTTGCCACGGAAAAAGATTGGTCTTTTTATCTTTAAAATTTTTCAAAACCCAATTTTTCAAACTCACATCTTTAACCTCACAATATCGGTTTGGCCAATCATCTGGTTCGACCGGTTTAGTACCTAAATCAGGTACTCTATCTTTAGACCCCACATTCTCTTCTTTTTGCCAATCTGCCACGTAAGTCGCAACCCTCCTATAAAATTTCTCTTTAAACACTTTCCACACTTGATATTTATAATGATTAATCATCATCGCACTATTCTCCACATCAACGGCCACAAAAGGTGCTCTTAAATGAAAATGATGTACCACATTAATAAGGGTCTGATTCAGTGCACCAGGTCTCACAATACTCTTATGTCTCTCACGCCCCGCCAACCGACACGTGTACCCCATCATCACTCCTTTATTTGGCACACCCTTTCGGCCCGAAGGCCCAAAACTGTAGCACGATGTTCTTATTTCCGCAACATTTTTCCCGGACTTTGAGTAATGCCAAATCACATGTCGTAAATCTACTTTTAACTTCACATTGAAGAATTCATCGACGTCGATAAATCCGACCCACTCGCACGAGGCTCGGGCCCGTAAAGCACAATGCGCAAACCCTGCTTCTTGTGCTTTTACCCAGGCCCATAAGTGCCACGTGATGTTGTAACCCGCACTTTGTAAGAAAGCAATCACATTTTCTATGTCATCGTCACTGTTGTTGTCGTAAATAAACCATCTTTCAACTCCGATTTTTGAGTGATACATTACCCATTCTTTGATGAATTGGGCTTGGTTTCGGAGCATCGTACATATGCATAATTCATACGGTTTTCGTTTTGATGATTTATGTAATGAAATGAGCTCGGGCCTTGCTATTGAGGGAAATATTTGTTTACCTTCAATTTGAATAGATACTTTAATAAAACCTTCATGTTGGGTATGGGCTTGGGTTTGGATTTGGGATAAAATTCTTGGAGGTGTTTTGCATCTTATTATCTCTTGGGCAGCTGATAAAACATCTGATTTAAATAAGAACTTGGGCTTTGTGAAATCCCAACCGTACACGCATTGGAATCTAGACGGTTCATATAATTTCTCTGGTCGAAGATTAAGTCCTTTTACAAATACGATGGTGGTGTTGTCACGATCAAAGAGAGCTTCGTAAACCAGTGGGTCCCAATTATGGATTGAAGAGTTTTTAATTTGAAGAGGTTCGTTGGATTTTATTCTGAGAGATACTGTCTCGCCACGTGGAGGTATCGGACACCGTACGATTTGTTCGTGGAACCTAACAGAGTGAAGCTGAATCGGCTCTTGAAGCCGAGGCTCGGAGTCAGCCGATAAGTAAACACATTGAATATCATTTTTGGTTTGACGATGAAAAGACAAAGGGTAATTCAGAACAACTAAAACCTGGTCCGGAAGCGTAACGGTTTCTCGGATGGTGATTTGCGGCGGCGGCGGAGTTCGCCATTTGGAAACTGTTTTCGGGAAGTGAAATGAAAGGATGAAGGAGAAAATGAGAGAGGTAGAGATAATGGAAGACAAAACAACAACGATGGTGAACAAAAAGAACGTGCTCCATGAAATGACACCGTTTTGTTTCATATGATCTTTCATGGGAGAAACCAAAATGAAAAGATAAATGTTCTTTGGCTTGCTTCATGACAGTAATGGTTGAATGAGTTTGAGAGAGTTGTAAGATTTTTTTTTTAACTTTCTGCATAGAGAAAAAGGAGAAAGAGAGTGAATTACGGGGATTGAACGGAAGAGATAGGAAAGAGAGATTGTATATAAATATCTAAATTCTAAGCCTCTTTTTGTTTCTTTCCTTGCTTGGCACCGTACATGTCGCTTTGCTTGTGGTTTTTAGATCTTGTACAGCGCATTCTATATATCTTTTCTATGTGAAATCCACTTTTCCATTCATTTTATGTGTAAAAGTAAATATTTGTAATTGTGTTGATAAATATATAAGTTTTGTTTGGAATTTCTTGATAAAAAATTATGGAGCATAATTTGTTGTCAAACAATAAAGGAAAAATTCTTCCAAATCAAACTATACTTGAATGTTTTAGTTAGAGAAACTTCTACTCTAAACAATAACATATGTCCATTAAATAAATGTGAAGTGTGTCATTTTTGAGGTACACAATTTAAATTCAATTTTTTATTAAAAGGAAACAAACTCCAAGCAACAAGACTTTGCGTTGTGATAAACATGTCACCAAAAAGATGTTGCGACGTGTTTATCATGTTACTATATGTTTTAAATAATAAAATAATACAAATTAGATTTTTGCATGGAAAATATGAAAAAATTTCAAAAAAAATGTTATGGTGTATAAAACAGGTTGCAACATACCTTTAAAAAAACATCAGGTTTTCACATTGGGGGGTTTAAAATTTTCAAAAAAAAAATTAATTAGTTTATGGAATGGAAAACACGTCTCAAATTACATTTTAAAAATATAAAAATTTGAAAAGAAAATTTTGACGGTTGGAATTGACGGTTGGGCAGGTTGACTGACACCTTTAAATTGACGTCATGTAAATCATGTCACAAATCTTTTTACTGTTCTGACGTTGCAGATTTATCGACGAGTTAATCATGCCTCAATCCAACAGTTACTTTTCATTTCCGACGTGATTTTCACGCCGCTGACGTGTCTACTCAAATGTCCACAAATATCTTTCCCTCATGTTAACAGAAATCATTTTCTTTCATTTCAACCTTCTTCCTTCTAACTTTCAACTTTCTTTTCTCACCTTTTAAACCTTCTTCCATTTCTTTTATGAGATTATATTTTAATCATCCCACATTCTTTTCTTACTTTCATCCACATTCAACTAAGATACGGTTTTTAATTTATGTTATTGAATTTTTCATTTTAATTTTTTTATTTTATTTTCTTTTTTAATTATTGTGTTTTAATTTTTCATTTTTAATTAATGTTACTAAATTCATTCAAAAAGAATTTCCAAATATTTATATTGTTTCTACATTCAAGTATTTTGGCTTTATCTATTTTTTATTTTTCTTCCTGAATTTCATATATAAAGTTTATTAGATTGTTGGGTTTTTTTATGCAATTGATTTTAATTTTTAATATATTTTAATTTATATTATTAATACAAATA